GGTTCTATAATATGCAAGAAATGGAAGAAAACGAGATTGTATAATCCGTTAAACTTCAAGAGAAACGAGATTCTTTTCTTAAGTTTCGCATGAATAAATAAGTAACTAAAGGAAAAGTGAAATACTGTAAGCCAAAAATGCATAACTTTAAAAAGGCAATTTAAAAAGTTCTATGAATTTTCTTTGGGAAAAAAATAACTACGCTTTTATTTACGCGTCTTTTTCAACGTACAAAAGCAAACAATTTAACGGAGATATTATTTCAAGTTAAGAAAGAGAGCCATTTATTAAAAAGGTACTCATGTATGCCTAAATATATTCATAAAGTCGCATAAAAATGTTTAATTTTAACTATAAAAAGCAGATATCACGCCAACACCGCCAATTATAAAAATATATTTTTGAAAAAAGGATGTAGAAAAAGTATTTGATCACATTTATTATGCTTACCATATTTGACCATATTGTTTTTATTAATTGACCATATTATCCTTACCTTATTTATTATCTTATTTATTAATAGCTAAATGTTATTTGATATCCTCTGGCGCGTATTTTTGAGTTTTATTCGTTATTGTTTTACATTAATCATGTTATTTTTATTTTTTTTATGTACAAAGAGGATCTATATCAGGGGTGGACAAGCTCCTTGATAGTCGAGCTATTTTTTAAAACTTGAAAATTTTCGCGAGCCGCAATTAAATACGTATTTAAGAGGTAAGCAAAAAAGGTATTAAAATTTTTTTTGCATAAATTATATATATTAAAAACATATAAGTAAAAGTACAAAATATGCGTATTGAATTTAAATATTAACCACATTTATTTTACTTCTCTTGATAATTCCTTAAAATTTAGTGAATAATTGGTGACAGCACTTCTCAGAGATGGTGGTTAGTTAATACTGATGGGTGTTTGGATTTCACGAATTTTTAAGAAGAATAAAATGATTCACTTAAGTACGTTGTCCCGAATATTGAAATAATTCAACAAGTAGCTTTTTTTAATTCAGGATACTTCGATTCTGGTACAAATTTCCAAAAATCCGTAATCGACGTCGATTTATATTTTAATTGTAGAGCTTGATCTTCTTGCATCTCTATCAATTCAAATTGTCCCGATGCTTTTTGTCTCATAATTATATTGGAAAGGGAAAACTCACCTTGAATTCAACAACGTTGCACTTAGTCTTTCATATTTGTTCTCAGTAATTTAAAAGACATTTTGAAACACATACGGAACGATAATAATTTTTTAAAATATAATAACGCAAAAAGGAAAAGGGTACTCGAGTACATTTATCGAGAGCCACAAATAAAGACTTCAAAGAGCCGCATGTGGCTCGCGAGCCGCAGGTTGGCCACCCCTGATCTATATACTACTAGCTAACTGGCAAACCTCCGTACCGTCGCCAATAGCCCATTGTGCAGTTCTAGTGTGACGTAAATTAACAACAACAACCTCCGTAATTTAATTTTCTTTTATCATTATTTATTTCTTCGAAAACGTTAATATTCTTCTCAAAAACACAGAATATTTTGGTTTCAAAATATCTAATAAGATATTTTATAGCTAGATGTTAAAACATTTTGTTTATACGTTAATAGTAGCGAAATTGACGATTACCTAAGAATTGAAAAATAATAATCATTTCTTTTTTTCATCGAACTTCTTGTTCTTTCTTCACACCTTTGTTATTTTGAGTTTCTAAGTCTTATGGATTTTGAGCAAAGTCTAACATAAAGCAAAAAAAGGTTTCGTTTTATTTTTAAGTGTCCACGCTCAAAAACTATTCGAGTGGTTTTATACAAATTTTGAATTGGTTGAAAATTTAGAAGAATTTATGTACCTAACAATTAAGACAAATTTTGAGCACTATTAAATCGAATAAAAAAATTATAGATAGTTCTAAAATAATTTTGATCTACATGGGATTTTCTTTGGATATTTTTTTTTATAATTATGAACAGAATCTGCTCTCCAGACCTAAGAATTGATTTCTAGATAGAAGCTGCGTACACTTATTTTGAATGTCAAGTTTCCGAATAATTGAAAAAAATGGGTATGTTTAGTTAGCAACTGAACATTTTGGTGTATAATTTCGTAACTGTTATCGTCTTTACTAGTTAATTAACTTATTTAATGTCTACCCCTGAAACCATAAGGTTTGCCGTTAGCATACGAAAATCTGATAGTTGGATCAAAAGTTATATAGGCATTCCGTTTATTTTTATAACGAATAATTTTTCGCATAAAACATTTATAAAAAGCACAAATTTAAAAAAAAACTATCGGTTTGAATGTTCGTTCATTTAGATCAATTAACGAATGATTTATTGAATTTTCTAACAAATCATAGAAAGTGTTAAAAAATATATATAAATTTATTATTTTGAATATTTTTAAAAAAATATTTTAGGTTTCTGATTAGCATCTCGAAAGTTATGGACACATGAATTCTTAGTAAATTAGTATCTAATTTGAAATAAATCTTATTGGAAGGAGCATATAAATATTATATTTGATTATATAGGAAAAATATGCCGTCTAGACTGTATGGTGTTTAGGAAGCTGACCTCATGTCAGAAAGGTCCCGAGTTCAAATCCCGCTTCGATCATGGATGTAATATCTCTCTGTCTAATCTGACCTTCTTATGTTGTTGGAGTGACAGTGATCCACCAATATGGTACCCAAGAAAAGAGGTTATACCGGACGTTAAGTACCACGATGCCACATTATGTTGGTATAAATGCTTTTTTATAAATGTTTGGCATAACATATATTCTTTTTTCTGGCTTCTATTTTCAAGATGTCGCAGACGCCCTTTATATATTTCTAAAGACAATTTTTATGCGCAATAAAATTGCTAAAAACTATATGACAATTTTAATCTATAAAATATTTAAATTTTGAGAGAATTAAAATACGTGAGATACTGAATGGATAAGGATGCAATAAATTATTATACGTTTTAAAATACACAATCTCGACTTTTAATTCAGTTCAATTACACTTGCTTTCGTACGAAATAAAGTAACTTCAATTAGTTAGACGTGAGACACATTTTTTTACAAAAATAATATGGGTACAAACAAAAGTTTAAAAAATAATTTTAACCTTGAATCTGTTTTCTTTGAATAAAAAAAATGACTCTTTTAGGTTGTGTTTTTCTTCGTGATTTTTTTTCCTTTTGAAATTACTTTTTCGGTTGAGTAAAGAGTGTTTTGCAACTCCTTTTGTTTGCCAAAAATATTACTGGCTCTTTGAAATGTTTCCACTTTTCATTTATAAAACATTAAAAGTTTTTTTTGCACTATAAAAAATATTTTTTGAGATAAGCTTTAAAAATGCATTATTTTATTTCAAATCCCTTAAAACATTCATAAATTTGCCCTCATTATTATTACTATTCTGGAAAAACAAACACAAAAAATATCAATAACTATTTTATATAAAAAATATTTTCTTAGAAAGTATCGAAGAAAAATTTGCAGAACAGATTATGCGAACCAAATCATTACACAACGTTATCCTTAAAAAAATTAATAAATAAATAAAAAAAAAAGGAACAACGAGACACAGATTGATTCTGCTTTGTATTTCGACACACTGTACAGATATTATCTATCAACTGGCGTTACTTGGCCCATTCTCTTAATTAAGTTAGGACGGAAAAGAGCAGTTACTCATTAGCCTTGAGTGTTTCGTAAATAATCAAAATTATTACTTGAAATTTTGGTAAGTTTGAGACTAAAATATTGTAGATTAATAAAAGTTAATCAGTGTTGAAATAATTAATTTGTAAAGTAATGATCAAGAAGTTTGAGACACCTAGCAATTTTATGCGTGATGCACATGAAGAGATCTGATTTTTCATATTCTTTCCGATTTAAAGGAGATAAAGACACCAGTGTTCCATGTTGTATTTCATAACCTTAAATTATCGAAATGTTAAATATATTATTTTATACTTATTTTGATTTAAACTAATGAAGTTGACTGACAAGTTGAAATGACAATTTCCAAGAAGTTGACTCTAAAAGTAGTTTTCAAAAGATAGGCAATAAAAATCTGATAGGCAAATTTTCCCTGATTATCTTAGTACCTCGGTTCACATACAATATATCAATTTTACCATGACTAACTATTATTTTCATCTCGCCAACTGACAAAGAAGAATACATATATTTTTCACTCATTGTTTAAAATTGAGATAATAAATTCCAATTGACGGCACAAATAATGGCAATATATTATAATGCAAAAATGGTCTTTTGTCTATCACATATGTTTATTTGTTCTTTTCATGTTGTTTCTTCGTTTTTTGAAAAGGAATATTACTAATTTTTACCGATGTTACTTTAATTTGTTCTAAAACTTGGAAAATCTTTTTCATCTTGCATTATCCTTTTGTGTTGTAAAATGGGGATCAGACGAGAATCTTTGCATGAAATCAGCAATCTTTTAAAAGAAATGAATGCTAGCTAACAACTATTTTTCCATTGATACAAAATTATAATTTTGCTCTCATTATTAAGTTTTTCCTATCTATTTTATTTTACTTCTGTGAATGAAAGGTAATAGAAGCAAAAGCTCACAAGAGTCAAATAAATAACTGGCAGATGCATTGCTGTCATATTGTTGACAAAGTTTGATGCTTTTCGTCAAACTTCGCCAAGTGTCAAGCTAACTCATAAGTACCTAGTTTACTCCCAGAAAAGTGTTTGACTTATTACGTAATTACCAAGTTATAAAAAATTACTGTACGGCTAACTTTTAGCACAATTATTGTATATGAATAAAATATAATTTATCCATGAAAGCGATGAAACACTGCACTACTCTTAAAGAAATTATAAGTTTTCTGTAGATAATATGCAAACACATGTTTAATTACAAAATAGATTTATAAGTATGTTGTAGTAGCTGCGAAGTTATTTTATCTAACTAAATTAAACCTTCAATAATGTTTCACGAAATTTTTTTAATCAATATTAAAAACTTCAATAAATATAAAAGTATACATTAAATTCAATGCTGCAAGTTGGTTTTTACTTCAAATATTACCGAATTTTGTCTCTATCATAAAATTTTGAAAATGGTTTCAGTTCTTTCATAAAGATGCACCAACAGTTATCGTTTAAAAATTTTAGTTTAATACTCTTCCTCTTCTTCACCCTCTCCGACATCAGTAGTATCTTGGCCAACTTCTTCATAGTCTTTTTCGAGTGCTGCTAAATCTTCTCTGGCTTCTGAAAACTCACCCTCTTCCATTCCTTCCCCTACATACCAGTGGACGAAAGCACGCTTGGCATACATAAGATCGAACTTGTGATCAAGTCTTGACCATGCCTCTGCAATAGCAGTTGTATTGGCAAGCATGCACACTGCTCGTTGAACCTTGGCGAGATCCCCACCAGGAACTACTGTCGGTGGTTGGTAGTTAATCCCTACCTATGTAAAACATTAAAAAAGTAGAAAGATTTGATTACTACTTCAAAATCTTTATTCCCACTTGAAATCCTTTTTATTTACTTAATTTTAAAAATAATTTCTTTTAAATCTAAGTTTAGGGAAACGTAATATAGATTTCTGCTATAGCGTTATGGAATATTGGTTATAGTAGTATAGTGGGAATATTGATGGAGTATAGTGGTTAGAATTGAATACTGATTATAGTAGTATGGAGGGAATATTGATGGAGTATAGTAGTTAGAGAGGAATACTGATTATAGTAGTATGGAGGGAATATTGGTGGAGTATAGTAGTTAGAATGGAATTTTAATTATAGCAATAACATAGGCGTTTGCCTGTGTTACTACTATAATCAATATTCTCTCAATTTAATACTGTAAATAGAGCGAGGAGACGAACAATGTTAATAATCCATAGTTTATCTGTAAATGAAGATTAAGGGTAAGAATGGTTTATGTCCATGAAAGCAGTCTGAAAAAACGCATGTCAAGTCGGAAAGGAAACGATTTTCCACAGTACAAGCCATCTTCACGGTGTAATAACTCTCGGAGAGAGCGGATTTTCCAGTGTTATTGATTTATCAAAACTGAGTAATATTCAGAATAGTACAGAAGGTGACCAAATCGTCATTTTTTGTGAAAAATGAACATTAACCGTTTTTTCTACTTGATCTTCAAATGTTAAATAAAATATTATAAATTATAATTTTTATTTGGATAAATAATTTTAGGGTTGAGTTAAAAATGGTTAAAAAATAAATATAAGATATAAATTTTTCGATGCATCAGCTGCTTACAGTATATAAGGCAATTAAAATCTTAGTCCAATTTATCTAAAGTCCAACTCACCACTCTAGTTTTTATTGCAGTTTGAATCAACGTTTTACCACGAGAATTTAGATTTCGAAAAGAGAAACTATGAAGCATTTTCTTTTCCTTAATGGGAGTTCCAGGTTATCGTGAGTGAAAAGATGTTAAACATTAAATGCAATGTCTTAAAGAATAACCCCAAGTCATAGTCTTAATTTTCAAAAATATAGTTATACTTTACTGAATTTATATGATTTTTCTTAAAAATTTTATTAATTTAACTTCTATTAACTTAAAAGGCAAGCTAAAGCTCCCTGGCATTCATATGAAAAAAAGACATTAGCTAAAACAAATAATTTAAAACAAGTTTAACACTAATATTTTATCTCAAACACTTTAATAAAATAAGACTCGAATTATGTTTGTTTTTTCTCCTTCTTTCCCCAATAATATAATAATATTCGTTAACTAAAAATGAATAAAGTTATGCAAAGTTAATGATTTATACTTTGAAACCCGTTGGGCACCAGTCTACGAATTGAATTGTCCTTCTGCTCTTAATAGCCGCTATTGCTGCGTTAACATCTTTCGGCACAACATCCCCTCTGTATAAAAGACAGCAGGCCATATATTTTCCATGCCGGGGATCGCACTTTACCATCTGGTTAGCGGGCTCAAAGCAAGCATTGGTAATTTCCGCCACAGTCAATTGCTCATGATATGCTTTTTCCGCGGAAATTACAGGAGCATAAGTCACCAAAGGAAAATGTATTCTGTCAAATAAAGATATATAATTAAGAATCTGGTACATTTATTGAATAGTATCTTCTCTAGAAAGAAAAGGGAAAAAATCAAGGCATGTATTGAAGTTCGACAATACCTCGGAAATGGCACTAGGTTCGTCTGAAATTCAGTCAAGTCAACGTTCAGAGCACCATCAAACCTCAAAGATGCAGTTATGGAGGAGACGATTTGTCCAATGAGGCGATTGAGATTTGTGTACGTTGGCCTCTCAATATCTAAGTTGCGGCGACTAATGTCATAAATAGCTTCATTATCCACCATAAAAGCACAGTCGGAATGCTCCAGCGTTGTGTGTGTAGTCAGGATTGAATTATAAGGCTCTACGACAGCGGTTGATATCTGGGAAATAAATTTATTGAAACTGCTGCATTATCATGATTTTTTAGTTTTTTAAACTATTTTATAATCGAATTATTAATGTTTGCATTTCATTTTACAAGATGGTAGTCTGCAAGTTTACCAGCAATATTATGAAAAAAAATATGCAAAAGCATCTAGTACCCATTGATTTATTAAACTTGAGCAATTAAAACTGGAGTGCAATTAATATAAAGACGGTTTAATATTTATATAGGATTTTGGTACTAAGTGACAGTATCTGACTGGAAAGGAAGTAGTTTCCTAATACATGTTTGGCAATAAACAGTCCACGAGAAACCTTATAAAACATTTCTTTTGGCAACAAATTGAAATAAAGCATACAAACGCCACGACACGAACAAATTAAAGTATTATAGATTATTATTGATTTCATCAGTTGGAAGTTTTGTGGACATTAACCAAAGACAAGATATTATCATTAGTTCTTATTACCCGAAGAGAAAAAAAATTTGATTAAATTACAGTGCTGTATGGTAATGACATGGTTATTAAAACCTAAGTATGCGCTATTTAAACCTTTAATTTGATAATTTTTTCCGTTTGTATGTTTACGGTTTAACGGAAATTCTGGTTTCTAAATTATAGTTCTCATCACCAACCATTTAGTAAAAAATACAAAACTGTAAAGCAAAAGTAGCCAAATAAAGGGTTATGCCAAGGTATCTCGGAAAATGTTGTCAAATTTTACCATATTTACTACAAGTTTTCAACGATTATAAAAGCATGTTTTTATAATTATCTTTCAGTGAATAAACGTATGCACAAATTTCAAAGCTTATGAACTCAATTTTTTCTAAACTGATACTCAAAACCTTCATTCACGCAGTTCTTCATCTACGACATAATTTTCTGAAAATATTCAGTTTAGCGATACTTTTCAAATATAATGATGAGCAGTGAAATTATTCAGCATGACTTTTGATTTTTACCAAACTTTCAAGTACTAATTAAAATAAGCTTTTCATGGTTTTAGAAACCAATTTCAAACAGGCTAATCTCCTGATTTAGATATGGAAACTTTAAATTCTTAATTAAGTAACGGGGCATAAAAATATGTCTTGTCTGAGAAATATATGTAACCTTATTTCGACAGATTCAGACTCTTAACTCTAAGATAGATCTCTTTGCCTCTATCAGGAAATTGAGTTTAATTGTTTAGTCAGAAGAACGCAATAAAAAGCTTAGGCCCTTTAATATAATTATTATTACACACGTTATTTTTTTCTCATATCGCCAAATATTTGAAACTAATTAATCAAACCGAGAGATTTTGTGCTTAAGCTGATTTTGAATTCTGTGATTTTTGCGCATAGTTTCAAAACAAATTTGTTTGAAAAAAAGTTTATGAAAAACTGTTTATTTTCATTTTATAGTTATTATCAATGAAGAGTTTTTTTATCATTATTTATTCAATTTTTTTTCAATAAAATTATAGGGACAGGGATAACTCGGTTGGTAGGGCATTGGGCCCATGTCCAAGAGGTCATGAGTTTGATCCCCTCCTGCCAAAGACAAAAGGTACAAAAGGTGTGTACAAAAAGGTGACAGGTCCGCGTTAAATTTGCCGATGTCTTAAAGTCCTTCAATTTCTCATAACATATCAATACCTCGGGAGGGGGGTGGTACTAGATCAGAGATTGATTGTGATCTGTTTCAGGTCAAAGTTACGATCTGCGGATGGATAGATCGTGTGTGAATGTCTTATTCCCTCTAAAACGAGCTGTGACGTATGTAGGTTATCTCCGAATCAATTCTTGTCCGTAGATTTCTCCACTGGAAAACACGAAGAAGAGCTCCGCTTTAAAATAGGCTTGTCAACATTGACAATGGCATAAGACAACAACAACAATAAAGTTATAAATATGGCATCATGATAAGCTACGTAATTTACTTGAAATGCTTACTATTCTTAATAAATAATTGTATTTAAACGCTATATTTTCGAGAACTACTCGCATAATTTTTCGTTTGTTTTTACACATTGGAAATTACATAATGTAGGAATTTTTTTATCTTGCAATTCAAAAACACTTTGATAAATTTAAAAATGGTAGGTCAAAGTAAAAGTAAATAGTTTAAAGTTAAAATAAATAGTTCAAAGTAAAAATAAATGGCTCAAAGTAAAAATAAATAATTTTGAGTTTCTTCGTAGTATTTCCTTTGAAGAATTTTTTTTTAAAATCCAATACAACAGGTGTTCTTTTCAAAATAGAATATATAAATGCAAGCGAAGAGTGGTGAAAGGAACCAAAACAGTTACCGGCTTTGTTGATTTAACTTAATGGGTTTGATTACAGTTCAGTACGATCACATCGCTGTCCAGATCTCAACTCAAACATTTTTCTCCGATTTGGATGATCAAATCAAAATTTTTAAATAAAAATACATTCATTCGCATAATATAAACATTTTAATTTAGTCATTTTATTAATTGTCCACTCTTTCGAATAAGCATTTCTGCATTGTCCATAAATATTGCTGATTTGTGGGTAAAATTCTAATAATTGGAAAGCTATTCAACGCATTAAACAATTTAATTTTCTTTCATTGCAAAATTTCTAGAATTATAGAAATCTCAACAATTTTAGTTTTATGTTCTTTGCTGTTACTATAGTCACATAATTTGTCAAGTAAGATACGATTTATAAGTAGTTAATCAATATATTCGCTCATAAGATTAATCTGCATAGAATACTGTTATCTTTAAATTCGTTATTCGGGGATTTCGTTTCCCATTATTATATTGGCTCACGGAATACAACAAAATATTCTCTGAATAATTATGTTTCTTTTCAATAAAAAAGTTTCAATGCATATACAATGCTCGTTCAAAGCAGCTCTATGCTCGTTGAAAAATAATATATAACTTAAAATTTATTGCCAAAAGCAACTTTTGTGACCTTTTATTTCAGCAATATTTGTTGTTGATAAATGCCTAAACAATTTTCCTTAAACACGGTATAATTTTGTATTGCTCTTAAGATTGTGTGCCAAGTTTACAGGCAGCATTAATGAAATGCTTTTTAATTTCAGTATATAATGAGAAAGACAATTTAAAATAAGTTATTTTACTTGAGGTGCTGGGTAAATTGCGAATTCTAATTTCGACTTTTTGCCATAATCCACTGATAGCCGTTCCATCAACAGAGATGCGAATCCAGATCCCGTGCCTCCCCCGAAACTATGGAAGATGAGAAATCCTTGCAAGCCTGTACATTGGTCAGCTAACTTTCGGCAACGATCCAAAACGAGATCAACGAGCTCTTTGCCAATAGTGTAGTGTCCCCTGGCATAGTTGTTTGCAGCATCTTCCTTGCCTGTTATCAATTGCTCAGGATGAAACAGCTGACGATACGTACCTGCAAGCATAGAAAAAAATATATAATTAGAAATTTCAGGTTGGTTATTTGAGTTCTCGATTGAGCTTGTTTTTACCAGTTCTGACTTCATCTACAACGGTTGGCTCCAAATCAATGTAAACTGCTCTTGGAACATGCTTGCCTGCTCCAGTTTCACTGAAGAATGTATTGTAAGAGTCATCACCTCCGCCAACAGTCTTATCACTTGGCATCTGGCCGTCTGGCTGAATGCCGTGCTCCAGGCAATAAAGCTCCCAGCATGCGTTTCCAACTTGTACTCCAGCTTGGCCAACATGGATACTAATGCATTCACGCATATTAATTCTTTAAACTCGTAGCAACACAAGCTATGTAACAGAAAAAGTTTAGCATTAGTTGAAAAACTACCGAAAAATAAAATTGAAATTACGCATACATTATTATTAGACATTGCATAAGCACCAAAATAAAAAAATCAATGACAAAAACAATTTTTGTTTGAATTTGTAGTTTTCTAAACGTTAAAAAAGATTTGAACACGTAACTCTGAAGGGCAACAGATTTTTTAGATAAAAAAATTCTCTGTTTAAATAGCAATTTTTTTTTGTAAATCTAGCAGAAATATTAAAAGGGACAAGGTATTGATCAATAATGCCTGTTTATGTGTAGAGACAACTAAACATTTCAGTACATAATGTATATAAATTTAATTGGGATATTCGTGAAAAGCAATTGTGCCAGTAATTTGAATTTAACAAAAACAGTCATCTAAATGCTTTTTAAGTCTCTAAGCGTTTTTGATCTAATTTTTGAACATTTAAAAGGTTACACCAACGCTACATTATCAGGGCTCATAAAAATTTGAAAGAAAAAATCAGAACAGTTCATTGATTTTGACACTTTTCCTTATGGTGGAAAAATCTCGTCAAATTCGAAATTTTAATTATAACTTTTAAGATATTCGAATTGTTCAAAAAAGCCCATCTAACACTTTATGACAAGATGGTATATATAAATTAAAAGTATAGCCTTGCCTCATGTGTATGGTACTTAAAATGTAGCATTTTACTTTCTTTAGTGAAAAAGGCATCGAAAAATGCTTCTCACATGATTTTGACGCTGAGAAATAAAGCGAGGTTTGAGAGGATCTTCGCAAATTATGTTAAGTTACACCGAGATCTCCGAGATTAATTTAAGCTGTTTGTTATAATTCTCTAACGTTAGATGTAGGGACTTTAAACTAAGGATAATGATTTTATGAGTAAATGGCCCTATTAGAAATACCCCTTACATTATTTTTAATATTACTTGTGCACACTAGATTTATTTGAAATTTTGCATTATTTCCATGATATCTTTAACGTCCTTAAAAGTTGGCGTCCCTATGCCTAATGTTTTAAATTTATTCATTTAAACTTATTTAATTAAACATTTGCTCTGATAAAGAATAATTAATAATTCGCGAGCTGGAAGCTTATGAAAAATTAAAGTTTCATTGGTATTCATTAAATTTTTTTAAACTTTTTTTATTTACCTTTTATGCGTAGGTTCATTTTTTTCATTGTTTTTATAAAATTTTATAACCATCGTTGAACAGCCGACCCAGTTTTGAGTTTATGACTACCAATGTTCACCTCGGTAGTCTTATAATGTCAAACATAATCCAGAAGACAAGGGAACTCCTGAATCAAGTATTGGGAGAAATTTGCCTTATTGGAGGACTTTTTGATGGAACTGAAACGCATTTGCATAACATGGAGAGGAACACCACGAAAACCTCCCACGGTTATCCTGACGGCAAGGGGACTGACTCTAAACCATAACCCGTCTACCACTGAGGATATTTTACTTCAACAGAATTACGGTCGGAGCGGAATTCGTATGGACCAGACATCGCTGGAATTCGAACCCGGATGACCCTATTGAAAGGCGAGTGCTCAATCCCCTGAGCCACAACGGTTCAGATGTGTTTAAAAAAATGGAATAAAAAATGGTACAAAAAATAATAAAAGAATTGGCGGATGTCTACAATCTTGCGTCTGGTTAAACTGAAAAGTTCCGTTTAATTTAAGTGATTATTGTTATTAATGTTTTAATCGTAAATGCAATAACGAAAATGTGAAAAAAGAAAAAAAAGGAAAAAAAAAATACAATTTTACCAAAAATTACAACCTGCAAAGCAAGCTAATATCTATAGTTTATTTGTTAAAGCTATTATATACAAATGATTCCACGAATTTTTTTTCTTTTTTTTTTAATTATCAAATTGGATTACGTAGTAGCATTTTGCATTGGTGTTGGCAAAAGTTTGGCGACATGCGTCAACGTTCGTTCGGCGTTTGCGACAATTTTCATAATCACTTCAAGCATTTAACATACAGTAGGAATTTTCCCAAGTTTAAATTATTTAGTTATCAAGTGTAAATTTGGTTTCCACAAAATAGCTAATTTCAATACATTAAGCTACTTTAACAAAATCTCCACCGTAGTCATCATTTGGCTATTTTCTTAATTTTGCCACAATTCCCTCGATTTCTTTTCTTTTTTGTTGTAAATAATGTTTGTGAATGAAAGAGTAATTAAAAGCAAAAATGAAATATAAAACTACGGAACACCACAGATTAATTTTTGTGAAACATTTCAGAAAGCGTTAAAAATAAATAATTTGAAAAGTATAATGCACATTTTAACTACTTTTTTTGCATTTTACTGTCATTTGAAAAATGTGAAAAGATAATAATTTCGAAATGAGGGTGGAAAAGAAACAGTGGAAAAATGATTTAAAAAAAAGGTTTTTAAATTTGCATTAGTACTTAAGTATATATAAGTACTTATATATACTTATTGCCTTTTTGTTCATCTGCTTTTGGCAACAGTTTTCGTTGCAATTTTGAAAACATCAATAGAAGCGTTTTTTGTTCTTGTTTCGACAAAGTTTGTCTCATGTTATAACCTTTATTAAAATATTTCTTTTTCTCAAAATGATCTGTTTATTTACAATTATAATTTAATTTCAACATATATAAGAACTTAAGTATATACAAGTACTTAAGCATATATAAGTACTTAAGTATATATCTGTATTTATTTTAATAATTAACAAGTAGCAAGAATAAAATAAACAAGTATTACTACAAGTTTTACTTACAGACTATAGTAAAAACAAGATGTGAAGATGATCCCAAAATAGCCGAGTAGTAACGCAAAAATAATGGTATTTAGTAAATCAGTTCTTTTCAAAAGGTTATTTTTTCTAGTTTAAACTTTGAATTATTCTCGAGAAATAAATTTTATGACACACGAGAATCATTCGTGCAAAATTTGATTCATATTACGAGTAATTATGTCGATAGATAATAAAAATATTTATCGTAATAAAGAAAGTAAAATATGAATAAAGAAAGAAAAGACAGATGACTAGGTTCACAAAAATACTCGATCATGAAAAAAAAGAAAGAAATAACTAAGGTAAGCCGAACATGAGGAAAAATTATAAATGTTATGTGTGTTATTAAATAGGAGATAATTTCAGCAAAACCTAGTTTGAAAAATACTTTAGTCCAGTTCACTTTTATTAAAAACGGTAATTGTAAGCAAGGTTGGCAAGTTTCTGCCGAGGTGGTTAAAACCACTGGTAGAAACCGGTTAAACCTGGCATGGCAGAAACCCTTTTCTGCCACATTTGTGGCAGAAACTGGCAGAAATTCAGAAAATGACATAAAAGTAAGTACTGAGATTGACATACAATGGATAATTCATAGAAAAAACAATTAAATGTTAAACAAAGTACGATTTATTTGCAAAATTATCACCATTCAAAATCAAATATTACATTGTCTGCACTCTGCATTAATCTATAACAAAAGACAAACTTTGCCGTTTCAAACTTAAACAATTTCTCAATTTGCTATGCACGAACGAGAAATTTGGGAAGATTCCCTCAAGTTCAGCAGAACTAGCAGGCATTGCCATCAAGGAACAAGCAAGATTTGTGAAACTTTCATCTATGGCATATTTTTTAAAACTAGACCGCCATGTAGCAGCTGAGGTAGTTGTCAAAACTTGACTGGAAAAATAAGTTTCAGGAAATGGGGCCGATTTGTTTAATTTGTTTTGTGGGGCCGATTTGTTATAAATATTTGATGTACTGCACTCTTTATATTTAATATAAACAAAATTGTATATATTTACAAACAATGAACTGAAAAGGTTGTTACAGTTATATGGATATTTTTCAGTTTACTTAAACAAAATGTCATTAAGCAATTGCTAGAACTAATATAGACATTTGTTTAGTTTCTGCCAGTTTTTGCCGGTTATAACCAGTTTTTGCCACTGGCATGGCAAAAACCAGTCTCTGCCGGTAAAAAGCCAACCCTGATTGTTAGTGTTCTGGGGTATTTTGGATAACATTTCGACAAATGAACTATTTTTTAAAAAAAAATTTAAACCCTATTAAATTGCTTAATGAAATCAATCTAAGATACAAATCGATCGTTTAAGATGCACGTAGTTCACTACTCACTAAGAATTCTTTTCATATCTAAGGAAATCACTTGTAACTAAAATATATTACAAACATGAATTTAAAAAGTATACGTATATATTCAAGAGAAAATCTTTTTTTTTCCTCAAAGCAGGATTCATTCAGTAAAGCATTTTAGCCGAAACCAGTATCTATCTAATACTTGCTCAACAAATAAACAATTTAAAAAATTATTTTTTTTTGCAGTTAATGCAATAAAATAGTTTATTTATTAATTTATTTATTTTTTAAAATTTACCCATTTTAGAATTTGAAATAAGTGATTATTTTTTGCAAGCAGACACAAACATTAAAACGACTACATTATCAAAATAAAAAATCGACTTCATGAATACTTTTCCATCATGATAAAAAAAACTTAATTATGACTACCGTTTAATTCGTGTGCAGTTGGTATTTTACAATAAAAAATTAGATTACTTTCCAATTAGCTAGAGCTTTCAAATCTGTACCTGTGTCTATTGATAATGCAAGCTGCAATAAATTGCTGACAACTGCAAACTGAATTTATTGCGATATTATTGCAAAACGGAACCAATTGTTAATCGAATTTTCGACCAGCTAGATAGCACAAATCCCACATAAAGCTTTATGCCTAATAGCAGTACAAGTTATAATTGTTTCCTAAATGTTGCAAATCTAAATATCCCAGCTGTTGTTTTCTATATATCCCAAATATTACAGTCACTAGAAATTTTGACTATTTCCAACGTAAACAAATAACATATACAAAACTTAACAGAAAAAAACAATGTATTGAAATAAAAATTTTCAAATAGATTAAAATGAAGAACATAATTCTAGCTTTGTCACAACTATATCAAAAAAATAAGGAGCATCACTTCCAAAATAAATACAACCGAAAAGTCTCGTGATGTCTTTTAATAGTAATGCGTCATGCACTTTTGTTCTAGGTTTGACAAAAATGAAAATATTTTCTTCCTTTCAGTTTACTTGTGAAAAAAATTTGGTATTTTTTTCTTCTTTTATTCAACTTTTTTATAGCTTTCAATAAAACTTTCAGCAACATATAATGATAGCAAATTAGTTTTATTAAAATATATAACAATATTTGAAGCTCTAAATTATTCATGAAATGTGATCTAAAGTTTTAAAAATGTTACTTAAATTCTTTATCATCGTATTTTTTATATGAGCTTCCTAACTTTTATTACCTGGTTGATTGGACCCTTTTAGAAATTTAATTTTCGTTAACATTTCTTATTAGAGTACGATTTTGACTCGAAAATACAATTAAGAGCATTTGAGTCCCAAATGTGCTGACTGATCCATTATCACGTTAGAATGAACTTTGCACATTAGTGTGTTGCATCCAATTCTAATTTGAAACTCGAATTAGCTATCCATCTTGATAATTTACGTCAAGACAAAAGTGGCGTTAAGTAATTAATATAGCTCTTTATTAATTAGGATTGATACTTCTCAGTTAGTAAATTAGTTAAAATAAGCATATATTTGCATAAAAATGTTGCATTCTATTTTGACGTAAAGAAATCGTAACTTTAATGTTTTTTTACTTCTTTGATTGACGTAATTAATTTTGTTTTAATTAATGGGATAAAATGAAAGTTTAAACGAAATTTTGTGTATGATGTCAGTTAAAACTCGATGACATTAGGCTGAAATAATTAATGAAAATGTGTTGTTTCTCCCCGGGGCACAAAGGGATGAAAATCGATTTTCGCGATCAAACATGAAGAAAATGAAGTATGTTTAAGAGTAATTTTAAGCATGTTGATTTTTGCAGTAAAATGTCCTAGAAATATAATAATGAACTTTATTTTACTGTTAAATAATCAATTAGGGAAATATAATTCAAAAATGTTAAGTTAAAAAAACGTTCTTTTATATTTTTTTCATTCATTCTATATTCTTTAACAAATATTTCAATTCTTTCAGTATATATTTCTTACTTGACACTAAGACAGTCCCCAAGCCATGTAAAATATAAACAAAACTATAATTGTAAGATATGTTCTTATGCTCATCGTATTTTTTGTAAAATAATTTACTTATTATATGTCAGTTAGTAGATGGCAACGAGTGGAGTTTTGTGGTTGCCATGGTGATATTTCTTTCTTATAAATAGTTTTTGAGAGAGTGTAAGATCTTTTCTTTGGAATGGCGTTGTTTTGATTATTTTGTTGTTGAGTTCATAAATCTTCCCTTTTATTAAACGTAATAGTACAATTTTCTTAATTATTTTATTCGACGTCTTTTGAGTTTTATTTGAGGTCATTTTTAATTTCGTATTTTTTGGCACTAATTATGCATCAAAGTTTCCAAGTACCCAAAACAAAAATATATCACGATTACATTAAAATAAATAAGCAAATAATAAATTGTTGTTGTTGTTGACGTATGCCTGTTTAGGTAGAGAGGGTGCGATTGCTCTTGTTTTCCAGTGGCGCCATCTATGGTCAAGAATTCGACTTCTGTCACACCATACGTCGCACCCGTTTATAGGGCGGACCCATTCATACATCCATAGATCGTAATTTTGACCTGAATCAGAGAACGATCAATCTAAATAATAAATAAAGTTAAATAAAAAGACGTAGACGAGGAAGAATTATAGTTTAACAAATTCGTTGTTCGATATGGTGTTGTATTTAATTAACATCACGTTAATTAACATTCTTACTTACGTGGTTAAACTTAATTCGACTTTAACACGCCATCTTGATTATATATGATCAGCTGGCGCTGAGGTCATAGATCACGTGTCTGTGTATCAGTGATCGTCTTCTTGAGTCATAAGTACCCAATTAGAGAAAAAACAGTATTATAACTGTCTTAACTTGTTGCTTTGTCTAGTATGACTAGGAATCGTCAGTCTTGATTTGGAACACGCATTTCAATGTCATCTTAAATAAAAAAGAAAATCAAAGGCAGAAAATAATAAAAAATGATTTAACAAACCTTTTTTTTAAATCCAATTTCGAAAATACTTTTAAGAAGTCAATATCCTTACGACTTTATAATAAATAAAATCTCTTTATGTTATTCATAAATGAGAAACACAAAATTATAAAAACAGAACCATTATTTTTATGTCCTTTTTAGGACAGTATTGCCGGTGATTTCCTGAAAGAATATGCATTATATCATACCATTAACCTCTTAAAAACCTACTTTCTTTGTTTGATGTACTGCGCATTTCCATCAACAGAAAATGCATTTAAAGAGGAAGGGAAAATGTCATTATGAGCTTCCCCCGGAGACAGTAAAAGAAAAATACATCATTTATCTTAACTTTGAAATAAGATGATAGTTTGAGACCGTTTTAAGCATTCGATGCGATAACGGTTAACTTAGTCAGTGGGCAATAGATTCGTTTATGAAATAAAGGTAGGGTATCAGTTAACTTAATAGATATTACTTTTAGATTACTTTTTTTTTCATTAAATAAGATGTATGCGTAAATTTACAAATAAGTTTTATCGCTGATTTCATGATGTTGAATATTAATTTAGAATGGTATAAAATTGGAAATTCTGTTTTTAGAAGATAATTTGAGTTAAATTTAGGAAGAGAGTAATTTCATCGGGTGAAAATAATAAGATTATATTGTTTTGTTTTAAGATTTTATTGTTATCAAATTTGGACGAAATTGGAAATGATCCCGTAATGAAAAGGATGCGGCAAAGTAGAGTAATACTAAATATAAACGATAGCGTTTTCAAAACTATTTGCATACCATCTTTATAAATATA